ACTGGCACTGCAGTTTCTTGCACTGTTTATTGGTTTTTTTTGTATGCCTAGCCACAAAATCACAACCCACAGTAAGAAATCAAAGCTGCATTTCTATGCTCAAATCTTTGCTCTCTCTTCTGGTATAGCTTTTATGATGTAATTTGGCAAGTTTGTTATCAGACTTCAGCAAACCTTGCTGAGCTCTGCTAGCAAACCATTATTCTTTGATAAAGGCACTACTGATTTTGCCTGAATAAAGCAAGCTTCTTCACCAAAACAGATGTGAACATGGTTTTCCTCACAGTGAGAAACAGTGTTTGAACCTTACCAGGGAAGCTCAAATCAGAGTGAATGGTTGAATCACTGCAGCTGCTTTGCATACAACTACCAGACTGCACTACCACTTAACCACTTAAGTGTAACATTCAACTAGGGGTTAAAGGTTTTATGAAACATTATTTTACCTCTCAAACTTGGCCAAGATATCAGCCACAATCACCCGACTCTCAACAGCACGGTCCACCTGCTGATTATGTTCAAATAGTGCAAACATGTTACGGCTGTCCTCCATTGCTAAACCTCGGATCAGCTTTTCAACCACCTGCAAAATTGGAGAGAGATCAGAGAGCAGGTATTACGCACACTTTCACAAGGAAGAATCAGTAACTCTTCACTCAAAATTTCACAGACCTCTATCACATGTCTCCCTTAGTTACCTCATTTTCATATTAAAGAATTCTGACCCTAAAAGATCAAGGAAGTCATTACTTGCATATGATCATCCTTCCTGTTCTTCTCTGAACTTTTTCTATCTCCTTTACCCTTTTGAAGATGGGGGAGTTAAAATTCTGTACAAGGTGCAGACACATAAGAGATTATGTGATGACAATCTTGGTTCCTCTAATAACAGTTCCACTCTTTACTACTGTTTTTACATCTGTTTACCACTAATGTTTTCAGACATACCTACTATAATCTGAAATCTTGCTTCTGACCTGCCAACGATTAAGTTACAGTATCCCTTCCAGAATTACTACATTATGAACTGGAATTTCAACTTGTCCAGAAAACTGTGTTTTAGCAAGTCTTCAGAATTATTACCTTTCCAATGGGCAGAACACCAAAAGTGTTTAGATTTTGCAACACAATTGTTAAGTGACATTCTACAGCCTGGGCATAGGCCTTGCCTAATTCTGAACCTGCAGAATAAGCTGAGCTTTCCCTACAGACTTTGCAGACACAGCAAAAAAACCCTGTACCTAAAAAAGTAACAAGAAATTGGAGTTGAATGGGAAAAGGGAGTCCCTTCCACAAAGCCAATATCCAGACAGAGAGATGTGCTTTCATCTAGTTAGAGCTAGATGTAACATTACTAATGCATTACCTCCCCAGCACTTGTGTGGGAATTGATGGTTATTTTACAGGAGCCACCTCCATGGCAGTACACTGTTGTGGTCATTTCTTCACGGGTGAGAAGTGCCTGTATTTCCTCCTGGGAGGGCACAAACTCCCTCGTCTTTGTTCTCTTCAGGGAATCACTTATGAATTGCGCGTACCTGTCTATTTCTGAGCCTGGAAAAAGGTCTTTTACCCTAATTGTAAAGAGAAGCAGAAAAACCCATTACACACGGAAGCAGAATTACCATGTAACATATTACCATATAATTCAGACTACTGTATGTAAAGCATTCAGTGGAGATACTGATGTCAAGTGCAGCCACAGGAAAAATGAACTATATTTATTTCCTAAACCATACAACCTGATCTTATTAGTCATTCCAAGGTCACTTTGGTGGCATTTCTCAGCAACAGTTCAAACTTTCCGGAGTTTAGTAACAGCTGAAAATAATAGGATCGACCATCTCAATTTACAAAATTGAGATTAAAAACTATAAAACTGAATGTAATGTTTTTTCATTTACTCATGTTTTTTAATTTGCTGGCTGTGCTTGAGCCACCTCTACGGTATTTTTCTGAATCAGGAAGACAGGAAGTAGATGCTTGTACACAGCTCTCTTCCCTCCAAAGCCAGCAGTTCTAAGTGTAACATTATCTGTAACACTAGTGATAAAACCATGAAATGGTGACATGAAATATTCCTCAGCATCTCTTAGAACCAGCCCCTGGAGTAGCTATTTGGAGTATTAGCACAGATTTCATCATGTTCCTTCCTGGCTTGGAAGGAATTAAATAGATTATCTTTCTCATCATTAATGAATGGAGTGAGATTACATGGCTGCAGCTCAGCCTCGGTGCAGACTCCTTGGAAAGCTGCATTAGATGCTGAAGAGGAATTAGAAAGAAATGTAAGTTATTTAGTTCATGAAAATTGGAAGTTAAAGCAGGTTAGAAATACAAATTGTAGCACTATGTGCTTAGGTAAGCACATACATACTGGAAAATTACAAACTGTGGAAAGGACCTTAAGATCATCCAGTTCCAACCCCCCTGCCATGGGAAGGACACCTCACACTAAACCATGTCACCCAAGGCTCGGTCCAACCTGGCCTTGACCACCCTTCCTTGGGCAACCCATTCCAGTGCCTCACCACCCTCACAGTAAAAAACTTCCTCCTTATAACTAACCTAACAGAACAATTGGTAGCAAAAATTGTGCACAAAGGTAGGAGGCTGCAACACCACAGGAAAATGTTTGCACAGGAGGAGGATGAGAGAGAGAACTACAACAGCCAGTTGGAAGATTGGCAGAAAGAAAGGTTACAGGCTGCAAATAAAAAGGATGTTTACCTTCTAAGGTGGAACTTGAGGTAGCGCAGGATCCCTCTACTAGGAAGAAAAGTGCAGCTCATACATGACATCAGCTGCCAGTGGTGCAGGTTCCCAGTACTGTTGGGATGTGGCATGTGGTTGGTTTGTTTGATAAGCTGACAGTACACTTCATCACGAAGGGGCTTTAAATCATGGCAGGTCTGAAGAATGCCTTGGATAATAGGTATGGGGTCAGACACTGTCTCAATTTCCTGAAGGGAGTTAAAGATCTTCACTGCTTCATCCTGTAAGCTGCTGTAACCCTTCTCTTGTTGCACTGGGGAACAATCACAAAGGTGACAAGAAGTGAGTGTTACGTTCTACTGGCCCAGCAACACTACAAGCAACTGTACTAGTCTGTCACAAAAGAAAAGTGACCTGAGCATTAGCTCATCTCCTGAACTTTGTACTTAAAATTGACTAATGCTTCCCCTTTACATGCACAAATACAGATATAATTAGCATTTGCCAACACCTAACTTGCTACCACTGCAAATCCATTTTTTTTAATACACTGTGCAGAAAAGCAAAGTCATGTTTTTAAGGAAAACTAGCACTGAAATCTAGTTGAGGCTTCAGTGTCTGCAGATGAGGTGCCAAGAGACAGCTTTTGGCATTTCATCTGCAGACAAAGGTGAAAGGGTGGCAGAAAGTCAACTCTGTGTAGACTGTCTCCTCACCTGAGAGCAGCAGAGTGAAGAGTCACTAATGCAGTTACAGCTTTAGGTGCCTGGGTGCAGGCACTAAACCCTGGCTTGTTTATTTCCAATATTCTATGTTTTGCCCCTGAGCCAACACAGAATTTTGGCAAATTGCTCTACCACTGATGCAGCTTTTACCTGTTGTTTAGAATTAAAATGCCTATTCCAAATCTGCTTAAGTTTCTGAAGCACCTGAATGTCTGCTTTAAATTGCTCAGAAGTGTGTGATACTACCATACTGCTGCAGGATTGCATCCTCTGACACATCTTTGGGGCTGTAGGTCCTTCTGAATCTCCTGTACAGCCATTGCTTCCCCAATGGCCATGCATTAATTGTACAGTACCAATACACAGCCCTGTAGCAAGTTCCACAGTGGTTTTGCTCTGTAATTTTTCTGTATTCCAGAATTTGTTTTTAATTTGCTTTTAATCTGCCACTTCATTTGATCGTTGTATCACGAGTGAGCAGTTACTCCCCTTTCACTTTCTCCATGATAGTACTCTAGTCCTAAAAGCTTCCTTTTGAGGCTGAAGAGTTCTCCTCTATCTAGTCTCTTAATTGTAGGCAAGTCTTTCTATGCCTTTAATCTCTGAGTAGGTTTTTACTTCTCCTGTATCTTTGTTAATATGTGAAAGGCCAAACTGAATCCTGTATTCAAGATGCGGGTGCATGATACATCAGTAAAGACACACAGAGACTTTCATTTCTAAGCTTTCAAAACCTTGCATTAGCTGTTGTGTTTCTGTGCTCAGCACAGGACTTGACATTTTCATAAAGCTATGTAAATTTCTGTTCACTTTCCTAAGCAAAACTAGATCGCTACCCATGCAACACTGTTTTTCCCATATACATTGCTTTGCATATCCAGATTGAAATTAATTTCTGAAAAGATTCTGTGGCCCAGTCATTCTGTGTTAGGGATTCTTCTCTAGGGCTTCAGCAACAGCTTTCAGTTTTAGTATTGCCAAACAGTCTGGAATCATCAGCTAATGACCTCAGTTTGCTGGTGGCCTACCATACAGTCTAGCTCTTTCACATTCCTGAAGCTTTTGAAGAAACGATTCATCCAGTTTTACAGCAGCTTCTGTATGTGGGAATAATATCCCACTGCCAGTTGCATAATGTAATCCTGGAGCTATTCACAGTTGCAGCTAAAGGATGACAGGCTGCACAGATAGATGATAAACTGCCTGCCCCCATTTACTTTCACACTTAGTGTTCTTAAGATCCAGGACAGTGGACACAGAATACATTCTGGGCTGTGAAAGGATCTGCTCCCTCTCTGAACCCTGTGGGCTTCCCAAATGAATGTAAACCCAAATGAACTTCACCTGCATAGAGAGTGCTTACAGACCACTTTTGTGGTGTTTAGGCTCCACACTGATCCTCAAAATGTGTGCAGATTCTGCCACATGCATAAAATACTTACAGTTGACACTAACATCTCCATATGGTAGTGGGAGCAATGGCGAATGCAATGGGTGCTGGGTGTATCGCAAGATCGGGTTCCTCCTATATGTCTGTTCCACAACTTCAAAGTTTGTGCTGTTTTCCTGGGGGGGGGGGGGGGGAATAAGAAATAAAAGAGGATTATAATGATCCTTAAATGGGGTCAGACCTTCACAGGATGTCCTTACACATTTATGTTCAAGCTCAACCACCTTTATCTAATTTTCTGGAGGTCCATAGAGGGACTACGGGACAAAAGCATAATTCACATATAAAAACTGTTCTGTACGTTATTGCTGAAAATTAAACACAAGAATAGCCACACTGGGTCATACCAAGCACAGGATCCTCACTTCAAATGTGGCTTGTGGCTTGTGGCTGATACCTAATGCAGGCATGTAACAGACATATATGACATGATTCCTCCCTGGTATATCCTTCAAGCTTTCAACAGCAAATGGTTAACAGAGTTTCTGATCACAGATCCGCCATGTTTAATATGTAATAATGAGACTGGCCTCCCTGCATTTGCCTGGTTGTACTCCATGTGTTTACAGAATGGACAACCAAAGTGCACATGGTGTTAAAAATCTGGGCCTGTCACTCTCATATATATAGGCATCACCTTCCACATTTCATCCTATATTCCTTTCCTAATAATACTTAACATTCCATTTGTCCTTGAACCCCGAGCTGAAATTTTCCAAGGTTCTCCACGATCACTCCCAGCTCTTTCTTCCCAAATAGTTACTATATAATTGCATCTAGTTTAGAGCTCATCACAATGCATATGTTTTCATTACATTTCTTCTGAAATATGCTTTGGTCTCTCTTCTAATATGATTCTACATTTAATTTGCTACAGTTTCTGGAAAGAAGCCTTTTCAATAACTACTCCTGTTACAGTGGCACAATTTCTGCTATTTTGAAGGATGTTTTCTTTCTGCCCTTTTACTCTGCTATTACCCACTCAAGCCTAAGGTACATGGAGGACTTCAGGGTACAGCAAAGTCACATGGCTGGTAGGAATGGGAATTTTTATATTTGTGTCCAGAGGATGTTTAGGAAAGGATGAAACAGGGATTTGCAATTTGTAATTACACACAGTTGTAGCCTAGACTTACATAGATCAGACAACATGCTAATTCAAAGTAAAATTAACATAAGATTTGATTGTTTAGTTTCACAGTCATTTAGGTTTCTTCACTCCCTGCCTCCCCCCACCCCAGTACAGCAACCTCGTTCCTCGTTTCTTGCCACATTCTCAGCAATGACTGGGTAAGGCCAGTGGTGATCTGGCTGCTCCCAACTCACTTGGGAATTAGCATAATGCCACCTACCCTGATGTCACGAATGAGTTGCTGTGTAGGTGTTTCGATGGGAACTTTACTGTCAATGACACCTTGAATGGCAGAAGCCCAGCGCATAGCTTCATTCAACAGCTTCGTGTACAGTCTGTAAGAGTGCTTTCGCCCATGGACAATGATGTTCCAATAGCCTGTGGAGAAATAAAGAAGCTGGAAGGTAAAACTTGCTTCCATATTATGTAGTTGACTGGAGGTCAGCACATGTGACACCCATCTACAAAAAGGGAACTACAGGCCTGTCAGTCTGCCCTTGGTGCCCAGGAAGGTTATGGAGCAGATCATCTTGAGTGCCATCATGTGGCATCTACAGGTGATGAGTGGAGTTAAACCCAGTTGGTGGCCAGTCACAAGTGCTGTTCCCCAGGGCTCAGTACTGAGGCCAGTTCTGTTTAATATCTTTATCAACGATCTGGACAAGGTATTGAGGGCACTTTTAAGTAAATTTGTTGGGTATAGACAACACCAAGTTCAGCAGAAGTGTTGATCTGCTGGAGGGCAGGAAGACTCTACAGAGACATCTGGACAGGCTGGACCAATGGGCCAACTGTATGAGGTTTGACAAGGCAAAGTTCTGGGTCCTACACTTGGGTCACAACAACCCCATGCAATGCTACAGGCTTGGGGAAGAGTGGCTGGAAAGTTGCCCCACAGACAAGGACCTCAAGGTGGTGTCCAACTGCTGGATGAACATAAGCCAGCAGTGTTCCCAGGTGGCCAAGAAGGCAAACAGCATCCTGGCTTGTATCAGAACAGTGTGGCCAGCAGGACTAGGGAAAGCGATTGTCCCCCTGTACTTGGCATTGGTGAGGCCACACCTCAGAACACTGTGTTCAGGTTTGGGCCCCTCACTATAAGAAAGCCACTGAGGTGCTGGAGTGTGTCCAAAGAACAGCAATGAAGTTGGTGAAGGGTCCAGAAAAAAAAAGTCTTATGAGGAGTGGGTGAAGAAATTGGGGATGTTTAGCCTGGAGAAAAAGAGGCTCAGGGTAGGCCTTTTGAAAGGAGGTTGCAGTGAGGTGGGGGTCAGTTTCTTATCCCAAGGAACAAGCAATAGGACTTGAGGAAATGGCCTCAGGCTGCACCAGGGAAGGATTAGTTTGGATACTGGGAAAAAATTTCTTCACCAATAGGGTTGTGAAGCATTGGAACAGGCTGCCCAGGGAAGTGGTGGAGTCACCATCCCTGGAGGTATTTAAAAGACATGTAGATATGGTGCCTAGGGACATAGTTAAGTGATGGACTTGGCAGCGCTAGGTTAGCAGTTGGACTCAATGATCTTAAAGGTCTTTTCCAACCTAAATAATTCTATGATTCTCTTCCTGTTTGTAGCACATGTCAGAGAAAACCCTTGCTGCTTTGATAGCAACATATGGCTTGTCTAGTTAAAATTGACTAGATACACATTAATGCCCCTATTCCCAAAAAATATTTATCAGCAGGAAGGTCCTAATTCAATTTTTGGTACAAAGACAGCTTTCCAAGATAGATCTTACAGTGTAACATGAATACTTCCCTGCCAATCAGGCAAGTCACTTTCACAGACAGCATTTGGGATACACTGTGCTATTCATCACTCAGAAAATTACCATTCTACACACAACACCCAGTCAAATAGCCAAATGAATTCTCATAGCTTTTAAAAATACTGTATTTGTCATAAACTGAGAGGTGACAAATTCACCTTGCTAAAAGCAGCCCTAGATACTTGTTGAGATCAAAAACATGGACTACTTGTAGTAAGCGGAAGAAATTTTCTCTCATCTCACTTTACTAAATGCTTCCAGCTTCCAGCCCCTTTTAGAAATACCCCAAGTAATTCCACTACTCAAATGTCCAGTATTTCAAGTCTTGTTCTAAGGCTCATTTTCTTTGTCAGGAGGATTTCATCTTTTTTCCCTCCTGAACTCGTAAGGCAAGCCAGGGAGGATCATGCCAGATCCTGCCTTCTCAGAACTGTGTGACACTGCACAGAAAGCAAACAGAGGCCCTTGTAAACTTTTGTTTCTAACAAGTTAAGTGATGCTACAGAAAAGAGTGTATGCCACTGCTGTTATTTAAGACAATAACATTGTCCCCAGAGACAAATGTAGGTCATGCTACAAAGTGACAGTTATTTATAGAGATGTTCTGATAATTACAGTGTCAACTACAAGAATTCATGTCCCTTTGCCGATACAAATAGTAACACTACTCAGTGAAAAAACATCAGCACTGTGTAACTCCATCAGGTGTGAGGGACTTACTGTCACTTGCACACTCCTCTGGCCATTTGCAAGTCTCTTACAGTTTCTGTGAGAAAAGATGTTTGAAGCCAGACACAAAGCCTCAGATAACATCAAGACCACCTTCTCAACATGACACACCACTACATTCCTGCATTATCCCTTCTTCAGGGAACTTCACGCATGGAGGTCTGCTCATTATCACTTTCTTCCTCTTACCTGTGTCCTTGAAGACCCTCTCATCAGGCTGTACTACGGAGCAGAGGCTATTGAGCACTAGTGTGCCAAGTTTGGCAGCTGTGCGCTCAGATGACTTGTAGTAGTCAAGGGCAGTATTTGTCAGAACAAACCAGCGTTTCTTCATCTTCAGAGAGGACATCTTGTTGTTGCTCTGAACCTCCTTATGAAGCCAGCCTAGCACAGGAATACAGACATGTCAATGGTTTTGCCATCACAGCAATCTTGTCTCTTGCCTGGTGGCTCTCTAACTCAGGGACAAGATTTCCACCCCTCTGCAAAAGGCTCATACTGGGACCTACCAGCTCTGCTTTACTGGCTGTGGCAGTATTCTGTACAGTCTCTGTAAGAAAGTAGCCCAAAATTTTCCACTGAGCTGTTCCATCCTTCAACTCTATGTACTTTTTTTTTAATAATCTGTGGTTTAGTTTGTCATCACCATGAGGGCATCCTCTATTAAGAATGCTTCTTTCACAAGTCACAAACGTGAATAAATACTTTACAGTTCATTTCTCCAAAGAGATGCCAAATGCCTATCCAAACCTCAATGAAAAAGGTTTGGTGATACATGCATCTCTTCCTCCCATGGTCAGGAAAAATATGCCTCCTCTCATTTTACATTTAACACTATAAAAGAAAACATAACAGTCTGAGTTGTGAAAGCTGTCAAAAAGGCAATTTTCTATTCAGAGCTGTAAAAGGTAATGTCCACCCACAAGGCAAAAAGTTCAAAGAATGTGGGACTGAGCCCAGAGGTTCCATATAAAGAAAAGATAAAGAAACAGACCTTCCTGAACATGTGCCTTCATGGCTACACCACTGTCACTATGAAGTGCAGAGCATACACTGACTTTGCAAAGTAGCATTCCCTTTTATCTTAAACTAATGAACAATACAAGATGAACTGCTGCCTTGCAATTAAGTATTTAAAATTTAAGGTACTCACACTGTTGTTTGATACTCTGCTTTATATCATTTAATCTTTTTAAAATATTTAAGACTAGGATGGAAAGCTTTTGGTAACCCACTTTTGGTAACCCTCTTCTTCCTGTCCTCCTGCCTTGCCACGGGCACTCTTAGACCTTTATTCATCACAGACACTTTCTGGAAGGTGTAAGGCAATTTGCTCATGCTCCTGCCTTCCACAGATGGGATCAGGAGTGTCTTCATACCTTTAAGACCATGTGATGGGCGGAAAGTACTAAGGGAATTTAAAAATATTTGAGGCAAATGGGGTAATATTTGTAATATGTGTGATCAGAACTCATGCATCAGGTCCTCCATCACCAACTAAGCTCTAAACAGAGGCATAATTTAAACTTTTTGCTCAGCCTCAGAAAATTCTTTTTATCTAGCTATGTCGACCCTCATCAGGTTAGTTTGTTTAGCTGAGGACAATAGCAATCCCACAAAGATCTCTCTCCCTCCCTCTCTACATGACAGGTGTCAGAAGGAACAGCGCTTTCTGAAAACAAAAGCTGCAGTGTCATGTCACAGTCAGTCTAAGCCAGCTGGTCCTAAACAGCAGTCATGCTCCCTTCCTGTTCCCTGACAGCATTTGCTGGACATGTTGAAATAAGCTACAGAGCTAACATCCAAAAACTAAACATATAAAGAAGTACTTATTTTTTCCAGCTTTAGCTTTTTGAAACCACCTGACAGGGAATCATATATGAGTCAGTGCCAGCATAACACAGGACATGACAAGCAGCAGGCAGGAAGGTGGAGAGGGGCAAGGAATGATTGGTTTGGGGGAGCAGTTAGATGGGATTAGCTGCAATCACACCTCCCTACAGATCATAAATGGAAGACGAGTTTCATGTATCATAATCACATTCATTTCCTTTTACCTCTCACAAGGAACTCTTGGCCATCAACCTTAGATTCGCCTTTTGGTTTCTGCAGCAGGGAGATCCAGTGATGCATCTCCTCAGGAGTGTCGCTGTTGCAGTGAATAACTCGATTTGCTGTGATGATCACAAAAGAATTTGGTCTGCCAGAAAATAAAAGCATTGAAATTGTTGTAACCATAAAAATATCTCAACTCACAACACACCCAAAGCCATGTTCTCTACCTTTCCATATACAATGCAGAAAGAGTCTCTGAATACAAACTACAGAGGAGTGTAGAAAAACTTAAGAGCATCTCCTTTGCAGCTGATCTGAAAACTGATGAATGCAGGGACCAGATAAATGGAATTAAACATCTTTCAAAAGCTATTTCTGAAGACTAGAAAACATTAATCAGTTAATGACCAGCTGTAAAATGTCCTGGGTTCATAGGCACAGGACTTTGTTCTATCCTCCAATCGTACAGAGCTAGTGTTAGTACCACTAGACTGAGCTAGTACAGCCATTATCCTCACAGTTATTAACACCAGGCATGCAGTAGCAAACATAGGTCCCAACAGGGTCCTAAGTTAAAATGGGTTTGAGACTGGTTTTTAAGAGTATGAGCCGATCCTGGCAAAATAGAGGAAAAAACATTATGTTACTCCTAAATGATTCTGTTCTTCTCTTGCAACAGACAAATGCATCCTCCCAAAAGAACACTCACAGCTCTGCACAGAATTGATGCTCTACAGGAAAATGGAAAAATACAAATATGACCAGTTCCAAGAGGACAGACTCAAAGCTTTGAAAGCAAACACAGATTTCTGTTCATCTTACTATTTGTGCCTAGGTTTTTTTACTGGTACACAGATTAACTACGAGGAAGCCATGCTGAGAACTGGCTAAAACATTATGATCAATGAAATCTTAGTCTGCTAACAAGATACGCATTTCCTAAACTAGTAACCCCAAAGGCTTGATAACCTGTGTGAGAAAAAAAGAAAAACAGACCACAGAGGTAAATAATAGCTAACATTTTACTCCAGCACTGTAGTAAGAATCTTTGCCCTGGCTGAACCTGTTAACACTGTGGGAAATAATTAAATGTTAATGTAAGTGATATGAAATGTCTCCTCTCTGAAACAAACCAATCTGTGAACTAAAGGTCTGTGTTCTGTTGCACTGCAAAGATTTCAAGAACAATAGAGATTTCTCAATTTATCCATTGTTTTCCACATTGGTGTTTCTTTCCACTAAATTTATAACAAAATTACTCTGTTAAAAAACTGGAAGTGCTGCTTTTGCTGGACATTTTCGTTCAGTGTTAGTAATAGGTAAACCTGTAATTCCTTGAAATTGAGATTATGCTGTTTCCACTTTAAACAGGAAAAGAAGACCATTTTCACTCAAAGCAAACATATGCGGTGTGCAATTCATGCCTGTGAAATGACACAGCTTGAAACAAGCTACACTTCAGTTACGTTTACATGGAAAAGAATTCTCATGAATTTAAACAAATGTAAACCCCAAATAAAATCTGGACCTACCCACAAAAATGTTAGAGAGTTTTTGATCTAAGAGATGGTCACGTTGCTGTACCTACCGATCAGGATTGTCTGAGGCACAGACAGAGTCAATAAGCCCAACATCCAGGGTTCCCTGTACAGTGAGAAAGACACAGAGAACAGCAATTGCTTGCATCTTAAATTACAGACATTTTCCTTCATGAATGGGATTGGAACTGAAAATATCATTCTGAATTCTAACAGCTTGAGTAGAAATTAATATGTGAGAAAGGCACGAGTGAGTCACCTTTGCTCCCTGAACAGCACGAGAAGATGTGCAAGGGCTCCATAGGACTGGAGGAAAAAGAGCTACACATTTCCAAAGAGCATTATGAGGGTCTGAAATAACTTTCACTGGTATCTCAGTACTGGCAAAATACATAAATACATTGTTCTTCCCGACTGTGTATCTTCTGTCTGGAGTAACTGTGACCCAGACAGAAGTCCCAGACTAGTCCTATAATCCCATCAAAAGGCATTTTATCTGCATAAGGCAGCTCCAATTTTTCCCTCAAACCAAAAACAGCCATTAGTGATGAAGCTGAGCCACCCACCACAACTACCATGTTCCCCACTGCTTACCCTTTGTTCTATCATCTTTGTTGTTTCTTTATAATAATTGTGCAACTTTCTTACGCAGCTGATGAACTACATCACTGCAAGTGCTGGAAAAACATGCACAGAACAGTTAAACACAGAGGGCTCTAAGCACGTGCACAGACTGGTTGCACAGTAACTCACCACAGCATTTTTTGGATTGGCCTGTTCATCTTGCATTTCCCTCAGCTGCTGTGCTGTAGCGCTGTGTACTCGGCTCAGGACGTTAAACCAACCACTGGCAATAGAAACAGACTCACAGTTAAGATTTGGGTAGTGAAACTAGCTGTAGAATATGATCAAGGAACCTGGAGAGCTGCCAGCGGGAAAATTTCTTCATTCACAATTTCCTGAGGATTATAGTACAAAATGGCTCTTGGGCTGATCATACCAGATTCTAATGTCATCCTTCCTCCCTCCCTATTTATCCATGAAAATTCTGTGCACATTCTCCAACCCACTGACAGCTGCTCCCACAAAATCCAGTTTTCTACTTGCTATTCAAGGAACTGGAAGCAGGCAATCGCTTTACATAATCACATGTCGGCAGACTGAGAAGAGCATACAGTAGTTGTAAAGCAGTCGGGATCAGTTGGGAATCTTGCTGGACTAGAGTCCTAGAGGCGGCTGAAAGCCTTTCTAACTAGTGTCTCTCTGATCTGCTCATAAACTCAAAAGTCTTCTGGCTGCCAATCGTGCAGGATTTATAAGTTAATTTGGAGTTAAATTATTTGGCTGTGAAAGAGCTTCTCATTACAGACGTATCTCGAGGCTAATCTCTGTTACAGAGCAAGCAGATTCTTATCTGCAGCTTCCAATGATTATCGACAAACATCTAGACTCCATGAAGGATTCTCAAACTGGATACTCTATCAGATCTGCTAATCTTGCTACTGCAAGATAAGTGTTGGTATTTCTTGTGCCTCAGAACAGAGACTGATACGGCATTGACAGAGGCCACATTTGTTTTATACTTCTAGCAATTCTGCAATGTTATCTTAGGGCAGGCCCATTCCTTTTCCCTCCAGTTGTGGAAGTTCTGGGTTCAGAAGTTACTGTTTCTTCAGCTACTGCCCCTTGAATTTGCCTGTTTCTTGTTCATGTGGCTGTTCTTCAGACTATTTCTGTTAGTGTCTAAACACCTTCCCCCACACTGTTCCTACATCCAAATGAAATAATAAACAACCCTAAATAACTTCACAGAATCAGATTAAAGTAGATCAGAGAAGTAGCTACACTGGCTGAGCTGAGAGAGTAGAAGCCTTGGTAGCAGTGGGAAAAGTGGGAAGACATGAGCAGCTATGGACAGTAACCTCTTAACTTGGCTTTGCATAGGCAGAATAGGTGGTCCAACCTGCCCTTAAATGACTGATCCCCACTGTCTGGCCAGGACACCAAGAAGGAAGGACATGAGTCATTTGTTTGCTTTGCACTGAGAAAAATTTATCAGATGACACTACAGACTGATAAGCTGCAGCCTCTTCTCTGTCTCCTGGGTAAAACCCAGCTGCTCTCGCAATCATTTACAGACAACATGAATAGACTTTTTGTTTGATTCAAGATTCCATTTAATAAATAAATCAGCTATTAGATGTTCCAGTTTACATTAAGGTTTTGTGTGTCTCCTGAAGTAACCCTTGAATTCAGCATGCTCACAGCCACATAAGAAGGTGGCAGTCCTCTAACTGAGGCTGAACCACCATCCCAGAAGCTGCAACTGGGAGTCCCCAGAGTAGGTGTGGTACCTCCCAGTAAGCACAAAGTGAGAGTCAGGAATGAATCCCCTCTTTTCTCCAGCAAAAGGGAAGTGATTACATTTCCCAGGCTGTCCCATGAGCAAGTTGGGTCACACTTGCACTGAATGAACAAACCTAACAAAACCTCCTCTTGTACCTGGCATCCTCTGGTGACTCTGCGACAATGTGATAAACTCTGTCTTCTGTCACGATGTCCAAGGCATTCTCCTTTTCATGAATGTCCACAATCTCTCTGTAACACAGCAAATCACAAGAGTCAAGCCCAAAAACCTTTCACAGGCATGAATTCCATCTGGCCAACTTTTTTTTCCACATTGTTACCATTCAACATAGAGAAGAGAAAGCACTGATTCAGATGGCTTATAACCCCAACAGAAACACATTTTTATCAACATACATTAAGGATTTTAGGATCTCCTTAAAAAGATTTGTGCTGTTAATCTACTACAAAAGCAAAGCTTAAGGTGTTAAATGGTTTTTCAAGACACCAGCAGACTACAGGATTACATGGAAGAAGAGATAACAAGGAAGTTGATACAGAGGGTGGTTTACAAGTAGGATGTGCCACACTTTTCGGCACTTTACAGGACCACATAATGCTAACAGATGACTAGTCTCTCCTTTCCTACAACAGGAGCTGAGAAATTGGCTAAAGCAGCAAAAAGAGCATCCGGGACTCAGGAAAAAGCATAGTACATGTTGCCAAATTCAGATCCCACTGTGAGCTTCATACCACCTCTGTGAATGCCTGGAGATGCCAGGAAACAGATGGAGTCAGGGTAGGGGAGAATGCATGGGGTATGTACTTAATTAGACCCTCCTGTTCTGGCTCCTTCCATGGAGCTTGGAAAGAGCTCCTGCTGAATTATGAAATGCAAGTCTGGAAAAAGAACTACCAAGTAATTCCAGACTCCCTCCAGAATAAAACTACAAGTTCTAATTGTCTTTTTCTTTCCTTATGTTTCTGATTCTCCTAGGCCTATGGGAAATACATAGGCTGATGAACTGGCAGCACTAAACACTTCATTATTAATTTAGAGCGTGAATACTGGGGATCACAAGGATTTACTTCTTCACTCACTTTGCCCTTCTGATATCAATTGTCCCCTTCAGCTTTTCTTCGCTATCATTCTCGAAGTACATCAGCTTGGATTCTCGAAGCACAAACCAACGACGTTTCCAGTTGCGACGTGAAAGTGTTGACATTCCTCCACCTTTTTTATACAGCCAGCCTGACTTCAGTGCCTCTTGCTTGGTGCGAAACCACATGAAGGCCTCGTTCTTCAGAACGCACCAGCGCCGCCTCCATGGGTTCATGAGACCTCCTGAAAAGCAAGGAAGCAAGATTTCATCAGACATGCAACAAGGGCCATGCTTCCATTCTGACCCTCCTTCTCTGGCACTCGGTAGGAACTTCAGTTCCTAGATGAAACAAAGGAGCTGAAGGAGGGAAATAAGGTTATGCTTAAGTCTGGACAGAGAAAAACCACAACAAACTAGTGAAACAAACACAAAATATAGAAATACATGCACTACTATATTTTTATACTATCTTCAGTTTTGTAGCTCAGAATGAGTAATTTAAGCCCATACTAAGAGGGCACAATTAAGTCCCAGTGGCAAAGAAAACCAGTCCAATTCCCTGACATCCACCTCCTAGTTGTTTGATTTGCTTGCATTAAATAAAAGAAGGGGTAAAAAAAGAGATTAAACAGAGAACTAAGAGAAGACGAAGATGATGGCTCTGGAGAAACAGAAGAGGGAAGTGGGCTTTGTGGATTCCATCCTTCCAAAGTGTTGGCTAAAGCACTTACCTTTCATGTAGAGATAGCTGTGAAAATAGGGTGGTCCTGTGCCATTGAAGAGAGTGACTCTTCCATTACAAAATTCTTCATCTGTATCAATGTAAACATCCACTTCTTCTTCACTCTCCAGGAACTACAAAGAAAATAAGAAATACAGGCTACTCGGGCTCTCCTGATTGCAGGAGTGGAGCAAATTAACAAGGTTAGAGAAGTCACATGATCAGAAGGTGCAAAATTACACATACTCCCTGTACAAAAAAAGCAATACAGTAAAATCAGAGGCTTGACCGCTTACCCATTAATGCCTAAAGCAAGAGTCTCCAGAGCATGGAATTTCCATATCAGAAAGGAAAGTGACATTCAGCAGTGGAAATGGCTAGAAAACTCCAGCTACCTGCGGTAACAAACTTTCCTGTTTCAAGGCAGAGCCTGCAGTCCAAAGATCTAAACTACTGAAATAATATCACAGTATTTGCTCATCCCTGTTCTACAACAACCCTCAACCATAAGAAAGTGCTTTACACACAAAACCCCATATTACCCTAACATTTCCTTTAGTTTAAATACAACTTCATTTGATTGGCTTTATTAATTTAATACTAATAAAGGCAGCTCCTTAGACTTTTTCTTTCCCCAAATGCATGTTGCTTTTTCTCATGTTTCCCTTCTGTCCATTCTCTGTGACCCTGCAAAGTGCTACTCTTTTGTCTCATTCCTGTTCCACTCAGTCATGCTCCCTCCCTCTCTTGCCATTAAGTTTCAAAAAGCAAGTACTCTTGGACTAGCAGCTACTGATGGGCTCTTGACCCTGCTGCAGTTATCTCTCGTATGCCTCTTGCCATGACATAGTATCAGCTGGATTTTTCATGGGTCTTGCTCACTGTGCAGCTCAATAAAACCCTCCACTTCTTATTTACATTTTATGAAGAACGGTGGAAACTGGTCTAGGCTGTGACAGAATGATTCATGACTTGAAGATTACCTGACAGTGATCCGAGTACCTGCCCACAGAGAAGGTACCTTTACTCAAGCAGATCACATCATAAAATATTCTGATGGCTGCCAGCTGACATTAGGGAAATGCAAACAGGAAAAATCAAGCAACTTTTTTAGAGAGGTCGCAATCTGCCATTGGAAAAGAATAGCAAAGGAAGTAAACCAAATTCCTTAAAAATCAATCATTCAATCATAGAATCATAGAATGGTTAGGGTTGGAAAGGACCTTTAGCTCACCTAGTTCCAACCCCCCTGCCATGGGCAGGGACACCTCACACTAAACCAAATCACCCAAGGCTTCATCCAACTTGGTCTTGAACACTGCCAGGGACGGAGCATTCACAACCTCCCTGGGCAACCCATTCCAGTGCCTCGCCACCCTAACAGGAAAGAATTTCCTTCTTATATCCAACCTAAACTTCCCCTGTTTAAGTTTTAACCCGTTACCCCTTGTCCTATCACTACAGTCTCTAATGAAGAGTCCCTCCCCAGCATCCCTGTAGGCCCCCTTCAGATACTGGAAGGCTGCTATGAGGTCTCCACGCAGCCTTCTCTTCTCCAGGATGAACAGCCCCAACTTCCTCAGCCTGTCTTCATATGGGAGGTGCTCCAGTCCCCTGATCATCCTCGTGGCCCTTCTCTGGACTTGTTCCACACTTCCATGTCCTTTTTATGTTGAGGACACCAGAACTGCACACAATACTCCAGGTGAGGTCCCACAAGAGCAGAGTAAAGGGGCAGGATCACCTCCTTTGACCTGCATCCTTTTGATGCAGCCCAGGATACGGTTGGCTTTCTGGGCTGCAAGCGCACACTGCTGGCTCATGTTCATTTTCTCATTGACCAGCACCCCCAAGTCCTTCTCCGCAGGGCTGCTCTGAATCTCTTCTCTGCCCAATCCGTCCTTTTCTAAAGATATTTTGTAGCTCAAAGCTCTATTCTCAGAGACATAAATTATCTTAAGTATTTTTATGGCTATCTTTGGCTTCACACCTGAACTCCTCACAACCTTATGTGGGGTTACCTGGCATCCGGTTCTGTAAGGGGATTTATCATTGCATTATTAAGCAACTAGCCTCAGGGCACTCAGGAAGTTCAGAGCCTAGTATGGGATCTAAACTGAGGTGCACCAAGTGTAAAGCTAATAGCCCAGCTTTACTACCATGTCACTGTCCCTGTGGTAGGAATGAAAAGGTTCAGTCTCGGTTATGTGTACTGGGACCTAGCCCGGATAAGCACAGCAATTTCTTGTAGCCTTAGAATAGCTTATCTGTTACACAGTAGCTGAAAATAAACCCTTGACGCTGAACGGTAACAGGACCAGAACAAGAGAAGCTTTAGTGATGGAAACAAATCAAACCCCAGCCCTTCCCATTTCCTCTTGTGACTGTCCACTGAAAGCTCAGGCTACTTCTGTGAAATCTCTCTAAGGCAAAACACATACCTACAAGATATTAGTTGCCTGCTTTCAGTCTTCCTAAAGGGTATTAGGTTAATATAAGGTGACGGAAAAACCCTAAAATAGTCTAGAGACATGTGCTAGCTTCTGTACCAGTAGACACTGGACAATCGCAAGCCCTCTGGCCTTCAGCCTACCTATGACTCTTCCCTTTTTTTCAAGCTGATTATTGATGTAACAGGGAATTATATGTTAGTAATAATACGCAGAGCAAGCAGACACAGAGTAAGAAGACAAGGATATTAAAAATACCAACAAAGTTACACTAGTGTCTGGAAAAGTGAAGGGAGAGCATCTTACCGAGTCCAGGCTGCCACGGTTGGACTCCAGGCTGGTACCATGGGAGTGTCTCAGACCTTCCTCACCATTCAGAGGCTCAGCTGAGGTGCTACCTGCATCTCCACAGCCATCAAATTCCTCATGGTCATAGTCAGACTCCACATCTGGGGGGGAAGTGTAAATCGGATCTCCCACCTCTCTACTGTTACTCCTTTGTGTATCTGAGACAGTGCCGTAAATGGTCTCTGCTGGGTCAGATAGAGCCCTCTGCTCCTTGGGGCTAGTGGTTCTATCCACAGGTTGTTCTGGAGCTGGAACAACCTCTCCAACTTCCCTATGGAGAAGTGAAAGGCTTGTCTCTGTGACTGTCTCTGAGTAGTTGCTGCTGTTTCTTGTGCCATGCTGATTCAAGACCACCAAACTGGAAGTTGGTCGTCCTTCGTCATCAGCATGAAAACCCTCATCCACTTCTTCTTCAGCCAGTGGTGCCACCAGGCTGCAGTCAGTGTTTAGTGTCCCCTCACTAGAAAGTGAGCGCTCCAAGTTCTGCACACTTTCATCCAGATTGCCAAAATCCAGCAGCTCCAAGAACTCCTGGGCAACCCTAGATGCCTCCTTTTCCAGCCTCTGGATCTCTTCTTCTCGCTGCCGATTGATTTCATTCCTGGTATTTTCACAGATGATTGACATGTGATCCTCTTTCTGTTGCTGCAACTTCTCAATCTCCTTCTCCAGTCTTAAGATCTCCTCCATCTGACGTCTCTCCTCTTCTTGCAGGGGAATATCTACCTCCTCAGTCTTTACTGCTTCCACCTTAAAGAATTTATATAACAGTGTTAAAGCAGTTTCTTCAACTTATATGTGCTCCTTGCCTGGATCCTTAATTCCTCACACCTTGTTTGCCTTGTACTTTCCATTTGCAAAGAGGTGACTCTAAGCATCCTGCAATCATCCATGGTATAAAAGCTAAAAGTAGAACTACTGGATTTTCATGTACCTCCTTTTTTTCCAGCAGCCTACCTCCTTTCTGAATCTTACAAATAAGCTCACTGGAATCAGTGAAATTTTAGAAGATCCCCTCTGTCTGCTGCTCATATTATAGCCCCTTGCACGCTACAATTTGGGTAAAATCATTCTGAAAGCCCATCGCCTCTTTTTGAACTATCTCACACACATAAAGGAGCAATATGAATACATGTATGCGCTGCCTGCTTAAGAGCTGAAGGTTTCCTGGAAATTCATTGGAAGATTTGGGGATCTCATTGCTTCCTGAGCTGGGGGTCTGACCATCAGAATCTAGGTCTGGAAGGGGTACTTGCAGTGAAGTAAGGACTGCATCCATTCCAATCCCACTCCACCAAAACTCCACCCAGAGTTTCTTGGCATTCTTTAGCATCACTGGATGG